AGAACTATGAGGGGCTGTTGCTGATCTGCTCTTACCTAAACTGCCTTCACATTTCTACATTCTCTTTTCTTTGTGTCTCTCTGTCTCCTGCTAGCCTAAAATTTGTGAAGCCATTAGCCTGGGTCACCCAGACAGCCTGCCTCACCAGTTCTACCTCACTTACAAATATTGACATGGCATTTGTATTTCTGCTAGGTAAGAGAACCTGCATCTAAGAAAGCCTCTCCGGAGGAAGCTATTGAAATGAAACTGCTGGAAAAGGACAAAGAAGGGGTTGTGAACTCACAGCTGCAGTGGCAGCTTAATCTTTTAGCTCATGTGGAATCCCTGCAAGATGAAGTCATACACAGGATGGATTTCATTGAGAAAGAGCTAGATGGTAAGTAGTGTTCTTCTATTTAAAAAAAAAACCCTGCATTTTGTTCAAAAAAACATCTGTCTGTAGATTTACTTCTGCAGGCCTTACAGAGTGATGAGCGTTAAGCTGTGAGATGGACTGCATTGAGTAATAGAAAGCAGACACTTGTGGTGCTTGGAAGGTTTGAAAACAAAATTGAAGATCAAATTAATACCATGAAGAACTTAATTTGAATAAAAAATCCTGCTTGCATCATCTCTGAATACTTGCATCAGATGATGTACTGGAATGTTTTTCATGTCTTGTTTTTGTTGTCATTTTCCATAGTGCTTCTGTGTCTCCAAGCTTTGCTGTTCTTTGGGCTTGCTGGCTGTTCTGCCCTCTTCTGTATGGCCTCTCCAATGTTCTCCTGGTCTATTGCAAACAGTTCTCCTTTCTCTCTTATTGAAGGGTGTGGCTAGAAGGGACACGCTCTCCTTGACCTCACTCTTCTGACCAGTTTACTGCCTTATTTTTCACGTCCCTCACCAAGTGCAGATCCATCTGTGCCTTGGCTTTGCTCATCCTACCTCACACCATGATTGCTGCACCCCAGACAAACTCTGATCTGAACCTCACTAATGATTTATTTTACACTGGTGAGCACCGGTTCTCTTAGTGCTTCAGCACTGGTTGGTCTGTCCAATACCTGCACCAGCAGGTTGTCCTACATGCAGCCCAGGAGTCTCCTGGATTGCTTGCAGCCCACTGTGCTGCTGTCCCAGCAGAGGCCCCGGGTGGTTGAAATCTCTCATTGGGATGAGAGACTGAAAAAGTGTGATGCCTGTTTTAGCTGGAGCAAGAAGGCTTCATCCTCAGGCTCTGTCTGATCAGGTGCCCACAGTTGACCCAACTGCCAGATGCCCTTTGAGCTCCTGGTTTTTAACCCACAAACTCTTGACCTGAGCATGGCTGCTCTCAGAGGCAGCCCTTTGCAGTCTGCCCACCTCTTAGCACGGAGGGCGGCTCCCGGGCCCCTCCTGCCCTGCCTTTCTCTTAAAGCTCCATCTTGGTGCTCCAGCTGTGCAGTTTCTTGCACCACATTTCTGCTATAGCAGTTCTGCCACTGCTTTCTGACTGTGCCACCGCTTCCAACTCCTCCTGCTCTGGCTGCTCCTTGATTTCAGGCCCCTCCTTGCACACCACCTCTCCTGCTTCCTGCAGAAGGTGTCTGTCTGCACTAGAGCCGATGGTCTCAGAGATTGCAGTTCTTTGTATTACCAGTCCTTTTAAGATCCCATCATAAGATATTCCAATAGTATGATCTTCCTAGTGCCACGTGGTGTCGTCTCTCACTGCTTTCTCCTGGGAACATCTGGGTTTTGTCCTTTAAAACTTCCCTTCAACGTTGAATTGGTTGTTTAGTATCAAAAGCTCTTCCTAAAGATGGGTAGCAGGAGTCGCTCTGTGGCATCTCAGTGCTGTTTCATCTGTGCCTGCGTTTCTCAAGGTTGATGCTGGATGTAAAGATCTCGTTCTGTGGCTCAGAGCAACCTATGTGGGAACTGAAGGAATGTCCCTTCTGTTTCTCTTGGCAGTTCTGGAGAGCTGGCTGGATTACACGGGGGAGCTGGAGCCACCCGAGCCGCTCGCCCGCCTCCCGCAGCTCAAGCACTGCATAAAGCAGCTGATCACGGACCTCAGCAAGGTGCAGCAGATCGCGCTGTGCTGCTCCACGTGAGACCAGGGAGTGCTGGGACTGCAAGAAGCGCGGCGTCGGGCGTCCGGCTGGAGAGCTGTGTGTATTTAAGTGAGGTTGGCATGCTGGTTGCATGTGGTGCAGACTGACTTCAGGGATTTGCGAAGAGGCGCTGCTCAAAGAACGGCCAGAAGGTTGTTTTATCTCCTGATTCCGGGGCTGTTGGGAATGGAGGAGGTTAATACTGTTGTCTTCAAAGGCTGGGTGTTGGTTGATTAAATTATACTCCAGTTTTCACTCCTTACAAGTTGCTCATGAAGAGGTAGACTTCTCGTGATTAAACTGACTAAAGTTGTGCCACTGAAGAACAGAGTTCTAAGAGCCAAAAACGTTCAGTTGACAGAGGTTGTAAATAACTCCGCATAGTTTCAGTGACTTGTGTCATGTTTTATTCCTTCTGGTTTATGCGTAATGCACACTGTATTTAATCATTAGGAAATGTTATAACGTTTTTCAGACCTAGTATGAATGCCCGGCTCCCAGCTTTGGGCTGCCACGTGGAGGGCGGCCAGGAGCCCAGGCAGCAGCGCAGCAGAAGCGCCGTGCGCTGCGCCCAGTTTGGGATAAATGGCTGTTCTGGGTTCTGACCTTGTCTCTCTCGCAGTGCTGGGGCTGAGCTGCCTGCCCTGCTGCTCTGCAGGGGGAGGAGGGGCTGCAGTGGGCGTCGTGTGGCCTTTCCCTTTGTTAATAGTCGCCATTCCGGTTCTGTTTTGAAATGTAGACTTTTTTCAGCACTCGGGACGTGTTCACTGTAAAGACTTACCATGAATGTGCGGTTTTGGGAATCAGTTTGTTTTATATTTGTGTAAATAAAGCCTCGAGATCTATGCATGAGGTGCTGTCCTGAGAGGCACTGAGTGGGTTGTTATCTTAACAGTGTGTGTTCGCGAGTTCCCTTTCCTGCCTTACGTTTTGGTGTCCTGGTCTGTTACTCTGTGAAGCAAGGTGAAGATGCTGCGTGGATTCAGGTGCGTTGTGCAGGCCTTGAGGCAATGCTGTGCTGTCAGAGGCATCAGGAGCCTTTCTGCTGTGGATCAGCGCTCCGGCAGCAGCACTGCAGCTTCGCTTTCCTTCCTGCCACAGCTGGGGTCACTGTACAGAACGGCGAGGGTGTTTTCCCATGGAGAGGGCGTCCTAAAAGAGGCTGCACTGTGTGACGGTGCTGCCGAGGGTGGATTGAAGCTGCACTGAGCCCATCGTGCTCACTTACTGCGAATGGTAATGATTTACTGTGGAAACTCCTACAGTAATAATTGCAACATTATCTACACAGGGAATGTTCTGATCAGTCCCTGCAGAAGGTGAGGTAACAGGGCTTCTCCGGGTAGTTGCTGCAGCTTTGTGCAAGGAGTCATTCAGGGAGTAATTGTCTGTTTCATAGCACGGCTGGTACACGATGAGCACAACACACGTACAGCAGAAAAATGAACTGCTCTGTAACACAGAATAAGGCTTATGTGGCATTGAGGATCCGCTTCACCCTTTGAAGATGGGTGCAGTGCTGGGCTGCCGCACTGCTGCTGTGAGCCCCAGGTGCCATGGGGCAGGGCAGCCCAGCAGCACGGTGCAGGCAGGAAGGGAGCTGGGGGGAGAAGGGCCAGGAAGGGGAACCTGTGAGACCTGCAGCAGGTGCTCCCACGGGGTTGGTGGGTGAGCATGGTGCAGCACACGGCTGTGCTGGGAGGCCGGGAGCAGCTCTGAGCTGGCGGCTCTGCTCAGAGCTGAGCTGCTTGCTGTGCGCCGGCTGCGCTTTCACTCAGGGCAGTGGGGGAGAAAGGGCTGTTCTGAGGGTGGGAGGCGGCAGAGCCTGGGCTGGTTCTCCTGTAGCGCAGCCAGAAGAAGCCCTCGCAGGTAAAGGCTGGAAGTATTTATTTAAACTAGACTAGCGTTTCTCATGTTCAGGAAAGGTTCTTTATTGTGCTTTGGATTCATTTTGTCCCTGTTTCTGTAAGTTTCCACATCGTTATTTCGTAGCCTGGGCCGGCCGTGGGGTCTGGCAGGTCGCCTTTGTGTTCTTTAAATCACTGGTAAGTGAATGCAACGTGGAGCCTTGATGAAATGAGCAAACATTGCACTGTGGATACGTATTTGTCTTTGTTTATGCACTATTAGAACTGAGGGCGCTGTATATAGGATTTTGCTTTGGAGCAATATTTGCAAAACTTGAAAACTTCTGTATCTTGGTGTTTGGAATAAATAAATAGGTTTTTGTTGGTTAAGTCTTAGCGATGTCTTTGTTTCAATTAACGACTCAATAAAATAACTGTGGTTTTGTTTGTGTCTGTGGTCAAAACCACTCGAACTGCATCTGGGCAGCCTGCTGCTGCTGTGTGGATGATGAGCTGCGCAGCGAGGGCTCCTCAGCCTGCAGCATTCCTTTCGTGTATTTAAAATCCAGGGGGAGGGGGGAGATGAGATCTGGGTGATGGGAGCAGAAGGGGGCAAACGGGGCAGAGCTGAGCGGGGCCTGAGGAAACCCCTGCCTGGGCTGCACCTGGGGAACCGAGAGTGCGCGGGGGCTGCGTGAGCCCAGCAGTGAGACATGAAAATGGGGAGAGCGGAGCGTGGCGGGGGCAGGAAGTGGGTCGGGTGCTGCCACAGCAGCCTCCGTGAACTCTGAAAGGGTAGAGCAGAGGTTTCCAGGCCCTGTGTCACTGCTGTGTGCAATGGGGGGCTGCTGTCAGCCGTGGCGCTGCTCTGATGTGTTTACAGCACTGCTGGGTTTGGTGTGGCACTGCCGCGCTGTCCCTGCTCCCACGTGGTCCTCGAGTTGGGTTGGTCCTCCAACCCAACTTTGCTTAAAGCAAAGGCTGCCCGAGCTGCAGGGCTGCTCTGTGTGCCTCAGTGTGGTGGTGCTGAATTTACCCCCCTGTAACCCTTAATTAAGAGATTGCAAACAGGTGCTGCTGTGTGCCCTGCGTGATCCTGTTTAATGGGTGAGGTAAAGCTTTGAACGTGTCTGTGGGGTGAGGTAAGGGTGGCTTCCTCCCTCTGCTGTGGGGCAGGGCTGCTCCAGTCATGTTGAGGGGCTCTGGGGGCCCAGGTTCTGTGCTGCACGGAGCCCCACGTGTGCTTGTGGGAGCTTGTGGGGCCGTGCCTCTGCGTGGGCTCAGCCCCAGCCCTGGGCTCTGTCCCAGCTCCTGCAGAAACTGCACCACTGTCAGCGTGGCTACCGCCAGCCGTGTGCCCTCACTGCAGGGCTGCAGCCTCTGTAATGCCCTCTGAGTGCTGCTCAGGGCCCAGCAGCCCACGGTGGGGCAGGTGTGGGTGCCCATCCCGGGGCTGTGGCGGCTGCGGCCTCAGCTGGTCTTTGCCCCCTTCCCCACAGGGCCGGTCTCTGTATCCACGCCATCGGTCAGCAGCAGGTAGGAGCTGATGGCTTCCCGCAGGCCCAGGCTGATGGGGGAGTCCTCCTCTCCCTCCCCCGGAGGTGGCACAGCCTCTGAGAGCAGGATGGAGCTGTGGGGCGGACGGGGTGGTCAGCGAGCAACGCCCAGCCCCAGGGGGACCGCAGCCCCCACAGACGGCTGCCCCCACCTGTCAATCTTGTCCCAGTTGAGCGTTGGCTTCTTCACTACGGCGGGCCGGACGAGGGCAGGCGCTGCCTTTGCCGTCTCCGTGACACAGGGCTCCCTGAGGGTGCAGCACAGACCCTCCCCACACTCTGTGTGGGGACGGCAGCGTCAGCGCGGTGCTGCACCGACCTGCAGGCACATGCAGGCGCCCCGGGCCGATCTCTGCTGCTCCTTACCGCTGTAGTGGTCCACGAGGTCGTGCAGGCTGGGGAAGGTGAGGCGGGGCGAGATGTAGAGCCAGCCGTTCTCCAGGCAGTGAATGCGGTAATGTGTGACTGCATCCCATGAGGCGAGCTCAGTGCGCCGCACCGACAGTGAGAAACCGCCTGCAGGGTGTGCGGGGCACGGGGCTGAGCTGCCTGCAGCCCCACTCAGCCTCCGGCTCCAACAGCCTCACTTTTATCAGTGGGAGCACCCACAGCTCGGAGATGTGGGGCTGCCAGGATGGGCACTGTCCAGTGCTCCCCTCCCGCAGCACCAGGATGGCAGCAGTGTGAGTGCTGCGTGGCAGAGCTGCCAGGAGAAGGGCTCAGCCTGGGGGTGCCCAGCGGGGTCCCCTCGTGGTTGCTGTGGGGCTCTGTGCCACGAGCAGAGCCCCTTTCATCTCTGAGGCTGAGCCTCCCCGCTTAACCAGCGGCTGCAGGAAGCTGGTCTGTTGGTTCGTCGGGGCCCTTTGGTAGAGGAAGAGGTGCAGCACAGAGCAGAGCAGTGGCAGCAGGAAGCGGCTGAGCAGGGCAATCCAGTGCCACCTGGTGTGGTGGCAGAGCAGCCTCACTCTGGGCCTGGCTCTTGGCACATGGTGTGGAGGGTCTGGGAAACTCCTTATGCTGAGGAAGGGGCGCTGGGATGGGCCCTGGCAGCAGCTTGCACGGGTTCTGGGGTGTTCTCAGGGGCCCAGCTCTGTCCTGTGTGCAGCAGTGCTGCTGGATGCTTCTGTCTTGTCCTGTCCCACTCCATCCCAAGGATGCTGCCTGTGCCCCATTCCACTCGCCCTGTGGCTTCCCATCCCCAGCACTGCAGGCTATGCTCACCTCTCCGGGTCTGGCTCTCACGGATCAGGAAGGCTCCGCTGTGGTTGCCCGGCAGCAGCAGCAGCTCCTCCGCTTTCTCCCGACTCACGCCCTCGTACAGCCACCTGCACGGCAGCAGGGAGTGGCAGAGCTGATGCACCTTCTGTCCCAGGGATGGGGACAGAGACAGGGACAGGCGGCCCCGCGGAAATGCCCGTGGGCTGCGTGGCACCGGGATTCAGGCATTGGGACTGGGACACCGTTGTCACATCCCCAAGCTCAGCTCTGATGCCAGCAATGGGCCTGGAGGCGCAGGTGCAGCAGCTGCGGTTTGTCCTTGGGACAACCCAGGAGTTTGGGGCGTCCCGGCTGAGCCCCCCACGTGTCACCCTGGGCTGACACCCACCTGTGCCGCACTTTGGCCACGCAGCTGCTGGGGATGAGGCACTCCTTGCCGGACACCTGGGATGCCACCAGCCACCACTCCCCATCCCTGCAGGGAAGGGGGACACGACGTCCTGCGGCTGCGGGCAGGGGATCCCTGCGGACCCGGGGATGGGTGCCAGCGGGGCCCGCTGGGTGCAGGACTTACTCAGAGAGGACGCGGAGCTGCTCGCCCATTCTCAGCACAGCGGTCGCGCCCGTCCCGGAGGGGAAATCACACAGGGCGAGCGCCTGGAATCCGCCCGGGGCTGCCTGTGTGGGCAGTGGGGACGGCGCGGGGATGGCGGCCAACGGTGCGGCGCTGAGCGGCTTCTCCCGGCTGGGCAGGATCCCCATCCCTCGCCGCACTGCGTGGTCAGCACGCAGTCCCGGCCCCCGCCCGTGGGCCCCACCGGCTGGAAGGGAAGGACGGAGCCCGGCCCGGCCCCGGCCGCGTCCGTGGCGGAGGGCAGAAGGGCCGGGACTCGCAGCCACACACACCGCGGTGCCCACATCGGGCTGAGGGCTGCGGGCTCCCATCCCAGAGCGGCGTCAGCGTCCCATCCCCGGCACAGCGGCTTCGAGCCGGGCGGGGCAGGAAAGCCCCGGGACGGGGCCGAGCTCCCCCGGGAGTCCTTCGAGGAAACGGCCTCGGCCCCGGTACGATCCCTGGGGAGCTGCGGCCGCGGCGGGCGGGGGGCTCTGGGGACGGGCGGCCCACGTTGCCACCCCACCCCGTCCCGGGATCCCCTGGAAATTGGGCCGCCCGGTGCTCCGAGCCGTCGGCGCCGAGGGGAGCGGGGCTCCCGCGCTTCCCTTCTCCGCGCAGCACCGCACGTGGGCTCCTCTCCCGTGGGAAGGCACGGCCAGAGCCGCTCCGTGACCCGACCCCGCGATCTGAGCCCGCACTTCCCGCTGTCACCCACCCAGGATCACCCGCCTACCTGCCGCTCACGGCCGTCTCCATCGCGCCGGGCTCCTCGGGGCCGGGCGGGCGCCGAGCATCCCGGCGTTCGGACGCGGGGCTGCGACCGGCCGCAGCGGTGCGAAGCGAAGAGGCCGGGCTCTTCCAAGCGGCTGCGGCGCTTCCTGTGCCGGTTGCAGCGCGGCGCCTCGCCGTTCTCCTTTTCGTTCGGCGCCGCCGCGCAGCGCAGCCCCGCCGTGTGCGGGAGGGCCGGCGGCCGCCGCTGGGACGGCGCTACGGAACGGCGCGACAGCGGGCAAAGCGTAAACGGGTCCCGCTGCCCCCGGCGCCGCTCTCTGCCCCGGCCGCGCTCACATCCGCCGGTTGTGCTCTGACGGTTTCTGGTCAATCGCAAACCGCCGTGTCGGTGTGAAGTGCGCACGGAAAAAGAACGGCGCGGATACGAAAGCGGCCGCCGCTCGGCCTCGCGCCCCCGGAGGGCTTTGGGCTTCGCTTCGCTCCGCTCCGCTCGGTCAGCGCCGGTGCAGCGCCGGCGGCACGCGGGCCGGGCTGAGGGCTGAGCGCTGAGCGGGTGCGGCAGCGCGGCGCGTCTCCGGTGCCGTGAGCGGAGCGGCAGCTGGAGGCAGAGAGGGAGCCGCGGGGCGGTCCGGGACGCAGCCTCAGGTCCGGCGGAGGAGAAGGGCCCCGCACCCACCCACCTCTATCGGTTCCCCACGGAGTTACGATAACAGATGCGTTGGGGGGAGGAAGCTGCTGCGGTCACTCCAGCTTCCTCCTTGAAGCCGCCACCGGAGTCGCTGCCGTGTCTCGAAAGCCCCCGTGGCCAGACGTCCTTCCCCACCTCCCGCCCGGGGCTGCGGCGCTCGCACGGCTTGAATCAGAAGGAAAAGCGCCCATCAGCGCCCACACGGAGCGTCCCGGGCGGCACCGCCCCGCTGCTCGGCTGCCCGGCTGCCCCCCGGCACGGAGCGCTGCCCGGCGGCGCAGGGCGAAGCGGCACGGCCCGGGATCCACCGCGCAGCCCTGGGAAGCCCAGGCAGAGCTGTGCCCTTCAGCAGCCAATGGAGCGAAGCTCCCTTCTTCCTCTTCTCCCTTTCAAAATGCCGAAATCCCATCCGTTTGCTCTCCCGGGCTCCATCCCACCAGCACCACGCACAGCCCCGCGGTGCGGTTGTTTCCTTTAGCTCATTTAATGCTGTGTTTGTGTTCCCTTCAGTCCGTGTTTTCATGAGGGAACTCGGGAGGAATCACTTCTACGTGCCGCTGCCCTCGGTGCAGCGCCCGGCAGCGATGCCTGCTGCAACTCCTCTTACACACTGGGCACTTGCAATCAGCAGGGATGAATTTTTTTTCACCTGCCCTCCCCCGACCAGACCTCACGCTCACCCTGCCGGGCAGCTCCTCCTGTTTCTCACCTTTCAGACACTTTGTACTTCTGGAAAACACTGCATCTCAGTGGGAGTTCCCCACGTGTGAACTGGAGCCCACCCCGGGCAGAGCCGCGGCACCAGGACCAACCTGAGACCAAAAGCTTCACCGCTTCTCAGCCCCAGGTGCTCCCCGTGAGCACAAGCAGGCTGTCATCTTGAGAGCAGAAACTGGATCTGAGAAGCAGAAGATGAACGGCTGTTCTCAGCACCGCTCCGTGCGCACCTGGCTGGACGCACACAGTTACAGAGCCAGCAGGGCTTCCCCTGCGTTCTGCAGCACCCCCTGCTTTGTCCCTGCAGGAACTGCCGAGCGGGACAGACAGCCGCAGCACTCGCTGCCTTTGGAGGCAACTCCGGGTGGCAAACCATCAGCTGGAAGATCAGAGGCAGAGCTGGAAGCTCCTCTGTGCACTCAGGCACAAACCTGCAGCGATGCCTGCAGACACCTCTGCCTGAGGACAGCCCCCAGGACTGCCCTGCCAGGCCGGGCTGTGCCTCACAGCTGCAGTGCAGGCCCTGCCAAGAGAAACACGGTGAGCAGGCAGGGTAACAATGAAACTCAGTTATAGCTTTATTTAATAACCGGTACAAAGTCCCCCTCAGGCAGAGCCTCCCGGTCCCATTCCCTACCTGAAATGGAGCAGAACATGAGTGTGAGCCTCAGGGGAGCTGCCTCCCAGTGAGTCAGGACTGCTCACCTGGTAAGCACGGATGTTTTGCTCGTCTATCGAGACCTGCAGCATCCTGACCACTCATCCCTTTTCACCCATTAACAGCCAGACCCTGGCACACAGCTGGCATTTCCTTCTTGCTCTCAGTGACCCAGACAGATGCAGAAAGGCAGCAGAACTGCGAATTCCACAAAGACGATGAACAGTACCTGCACAAAGGCATTCACTGCTCAACTGCTGGCCTGAGTCACATGGACACAGCCCATGGCAGCCACTGCCATTCACTGGCATTGCCTGAGCCTCAGTGAAGTCCCTGTGCAGACACGCTGCCTGGGGATGGCAGCAGTGAGAGGCAGAATTGGCAGTGCAGGAGATAGGGGATCTCTGGATGGCGAGGGGCTCTGCTGCCCATTCCACAACCTACTTGATGCTAAAGATCCCCCCTGTGCCAGGGCAGAACAGTGACTGTGCCTTAACTGCACTCGGGTCCCTGCAGGAAGGGCAGCCTGGAGGCCAGAGCTGCTGCACTTTAATCCCTTGTACTCTGATGAATAGTGCACCTCAGTTAGTGTTCACTTGTTAATTGCTTTGCCCTTTCAGGAGGCTCCGGTAAGAAATCACTCTGCTCCTTCTTAACACACATACAGAGATGAGACCACGACAGTATTTCTGACTGTTGGTTTTCCCACAGCTGCTTGGCACGGCCCGAGTCCTGGAACACAAAGACCTCCTGGTGGGCTCCGTGCTCCAGGCACAGCTCTGCCTCGAGCGTCACAGCATCATGGCCTTGCTTTCCCGTGTCCCACAGATGCCATTCTGACTGCACCACAAGGGTCCTTTAGCAGAAGCACAACTAGAAAGCAATTCTAAAACCTCACAAAGCCACAGAAATTATATATAAGTGAACAGGGGAGACAATGGCTGTCATCTGCATTGATATACAGCACAGACAGGAGGTGGTATCAGCATGAACAGTAACGTGATTTACTAAGACTGCAGAATGTTAAACGGGTTGTAAAGAGGCTCCGATACCAAGGGCATACAGAAAGGACCAAAGTAATGCCAAGTACAGACTACTAAGGAGGTGGCAGCTCAGATGGGCATGCACAAGTTAGAGAGAACAGTTAATGCCACGTTGTATGAAATGCTAGATTCTGAGTGGGTTCAGTGGGGCGAGTGGAATTGTCTGAATCCAGAAGAAGGACTCCTGCTTAACAGGACACTTCCATGGTTTGAGGTGCATCCTGGAGATCAATTCCGTCTGGGGTTCCAGCACTGCCTTCACCGTGGTTGCTGGCGTGAGACCGGCTGCGGATGCTCTCCCCAGAGCCCACGCTAGAAGAGGAGTGAGTACGTGAGCGCATCAGCCTGGTCATACTGGCTGCTGGCACTGCAAGAGAGAACAAGAGCAGCACTTACAAAGGGAGGAAGCCCGCAGGCTCAGAGCAAGTACCGTGGTCACCAAGTATGTGCTGCTGGGTAAGCGCAGGAAGAGCTGTACCCTCAGGAAGAAAACCCACTCCTCACTGCCAAAACGAAGTCTTTGCACGTCTAAAGCAAGATGTTTAAGGCCCAATTTCAAAAGGTCCAAGGTGAGCGAATGCCAGAAACGTAACTGATCATTTGCAGGTGCAGTCACAGTGAGTGTGTGCAAACCAAGGCAGCTGTTGTACAAGTGACCTTTTGAAAGTCAGTCTCGACACTCTTGAAAACCACAGAACTGAAATCATGCAACAGTCAACAAAATACAAATGAAAGGTGAGAAACCATAGCAAACACGCTGTACGATGGATCAGCCTAGCCCAGAGCAGGCCAGCAGGACATGCTGAGACGGAGCAGTGCACCCGAAGGATCATTCAACTCAGTACACAGACTTGGGCCAAGGCAGATGCACAGTTGAAGGTACCTGACTCAGTGCTTAGGTGGCTGAGCTGCACATAAGGGACTGGAAACAACACGAGACAAGGAAAGGGACGAATACAGGAAAGAGCCAATTAGTTGCAGAGCGTGACTACAGCTGCACTGCTCCTGGGATCCCCGGCTGCTTTCCCTTCCACTCCCAGCTCACACTGCGCTGCAGCTCCTGCTACTTGAGAACACAGCTGCTAACGAGCATCTCATCAAAAATGTACCTGGCCCAAATCTCCCTGGTGATGTTAGCTGGAAGCTGCAGTGCACTTGGTGACCTCACCTCCCCACCACTGAACACACAACTGCACAGTAGAGACAGAATTTTCCTGAGGTGGGGAAACTGCAATATTATTCTGCAGTTCTCAATACTGGACAGAAATTCTTGCCTTTCCTGGCGTTGATGGCATCAGATTCCAGCTATGAGCAAGGCTTTACTTTCCATCTACAGTGTCAGCATGGATACGTCCAACTACTTCAGCCAATGTGCAGAAGAAACAAGAAAGGCTGTCGGAGAGTTGGTCCATGCAGCTGCAGAGGTGACAAGCTGCTGAGCTTTTGCTGCTGGCCCACGCTTAGCACTCCTGCACAATCTTGCCAACCAAAGCTGGTAAAACAGCTCTGGGACTAGCTACAAATTCCAGAAGTAGAAAATGACCACATACCCTTCCCCTGTGCTACACATCCTATTGGCAAGAGATCTGACTCCCAAAGTGCTGCTGCCATCCCCGCTCTGAT